GCTATAAAAACATTAGTATTGAAAATTGCCTAATCCAGCTTTGGCCAGTTGTATGTGCATCTGTATTACTGATAAAATAACAAATTATTAGTGACAGAGTAAGAATTTAATATTGTGATTGTAAAAACACACAGAGCTAGGGAAAATCTCATATCATATATCACATCATAGAATGGTTTGGGTTGGAAGGGACCCTATAGATCATCCAGATCCAACCCCCTGCATGGGCAGGGGCACCTTCCTCTAAACTAAGGCAAAGCAGACCTTGCAGCAATGTGTGCACTATGCTAAACTAGAAACCATTGGACTAGGTTTCTGCAATTTATTATATTCACAGTTCACAGGTGAAACAGCAATACACAGCTCCAGAGAAACTTCTTACAATTGAGGGTTATCAGGAAACTTGCTCTCACTACCCACAAGAAGGACATAACTACTGGAAGTTAGACACCAAGATTTATCATCTAGTGGTGGAACACTAACTTATACTGAGCACTACGAAGTACTGTGACACTATCAGTAACCAGTTGTTTGAATTTAGAAATGCTCAAAACATTTATATCTCAGCTCAAAATGCAAACACATACAAAACACATATGTAAATCTGAAGGGCAGGCATCCATAGTCCACAGGAAAAAACTGAGCAAGAGACAACTTGTTCTTAGAATAACAAAGTCTTTGAAGAGCAGCATTGTAAATCACACTCATAATCATCAGGAGGCAATGGCAGGAGATAGAGAAGAGGCTGTTAAAAGTAAACAGCCCAACTTTCTGTTACAAACAGAAATATGCTAAAATTGTCACTGATGTCCTCTTACCTAAGCCAACTTTTAAATATTGGGAAAACATAAGTCAAAAATCACATTATGAGGACATCATATATCCTAACTATCCATCTAGACCTGATGATATCACCATTAAGAAAAACAAGAATGTGATGCTCTAATATGAAAATGTCTCAAGAGGACACCATAATCTGTTCTATGTCCAAAACTAATCTTCATTTCAGCTACCTGGAACAGGCTTGTTTACGAAGTATTAAAAGGTTATTCTTATCAATATTTATTTTAATTAGGCAGAATCAGCCTTTCAGTAATAAACCTAATAAATTAAGCAGCTATCTGTTTGGCAGAGGAGTACTTATGCTAAAGGACTTGTAGAAATAAGAGACAACATGTGAATGGAAATATAAATAGGGAAGCACACAGAGAGAGTATTTATCTGTGTGGCAAAAAATAATTACAGGAAATAGCGATCAGCCAAACAGGAAAAAAAAACAACCCAACCGCTTTTCCCTATTTCCAGTACAGAAAATAATATTAAACTGATCATACATGTCCAGAAATCCCAGACTCTGGTCAGTAACTCTCATCACAGAGAAACCACATATATATTAATAGCTCTCAAGTATATGAGACTATTTTATTTTTTTTTCAAGAAATAAAAATGTATTAGGCATCTATTTGCAGATTTTTCAATGAGAAAAATCATAATGGAAAGACAAGTGTCCTGCTTTGGAAACTGAGTAAGTGGGAAATACAGCCTAACAGCAGTGCTGAACTACTGGTTGAAGACAGGAAGCATAACAGAGGAAGGATGCAGACCTTGCTTTCCATAAGGATGCCTGCTGCTACACTGGCTACTACAGCTTCCTATACATTTGGCTGCCTTCTAACACCCTGCTGGCTCATGTTTAACTCACTGTGCACCAGGACTCCCAGGTCGTTTTCTAGCCAGCCGGCCCTCAGCCTGGGGTTATTCAACTCCATCTGGAACATTTTGCATTTGCCTTTAACTTGATGAGACTACTATCAGTCCATTTCTTCAGTTCGGATAGTCCCCTCCAAAGAGCAGCTCTGTTTTCCAGGGAATCTAACCATTCCCTGCAATCTGTTATCATTCAAAAACTTGCTGAGAGGGCACTGTACTAACCCAGAATCAATCCATGAGGGATACCATTAGCTATCAGCTGCAAGCTGGACTTTGCAACACTGACAACTCTTAGAGCCAAATCATCCAACCAGTTTTCTACTCAACCCATTCTTGACTTCTGCATTCCAGAGCTCACTTAAGCTATGTTTCCCTTTGTTTTTTAACTTCAGGGCTACGGAGCCCAAATCTAACTGGAGCTTGTATAAACTAAGATGACAAAATAGCCTGAAGCCTCACTATCTCAGATCATTAGTCTCACAGGTGACAAATGATTACATTTCTTGTATTCATTTTGTCACATAATACCCATATCAATCACTGTTCGGACAAAAGTTTCCATCATCTCATCCCACTAGTACAAAAAGGAAAATCATGCTACCTGCAGCAAGTTGAGTTTCAAACAAGTGGCACAGAGTTACAAGTAAGTATAATGAAAAAGTTGTACCAGATAAGAACACTGGTTAACTGTAATTATACTGTACACCTCTGTGACTTACAGCTACAGTGCAACTTTCAGAAGAAGCTAACCACCAGACTCACCACAGACATAGGAACAACCTTTCTTGAACTAGCTGAGAAGCAGGGAGTCAGACATACAGACATGTCACGTATTAGAATGAAATGTCTGCTCTGTGTACCTCTCTTCTGTTTTGAATAGTAACAGTTACCTAAAAATAAAGAAAATTGACCAACATGACAGCACTCTATGAGGATGTAACCAGGAGGACAGATTATGAAAGTGCAGTAGATGTGGTTTAACTTGATTTCAGTAAAGTATTTGACACTAAGGCTGGAAATTATGACATCTCTAATAATCAAGAGAGTGAGAATCTGGACTCACTCTCCAGCCAAGTAGTTTGGATAAAAATCCACTAAGTTTTAAGAAGGAACTTAATCAGCTTGATGTGATTACTTGCAATAGCTGACACTTTATTTTGCACAGTTCAGAAGGTCATTATGCTTCTAACACCTTGAAACAGGCATGCTAAACTGAAGTAGGCTTGAATGCACACAAACCCAAACAAACCTAGAATACAATCAACTCTGTATTTGACTTCTGCTGAGAGCTATCACGCTAAATACAGTGGTAGCTCAAAAATAAGAGGCTAAAAACAAAACAAAAGATTTCTTTTTCTGCTGATTCAGTCCACCATCCAAGAGCTGCTCTGGCAACGTAAATATTACATCCATTCTCAAATATATACAAAGACAGCTCTCTAGAAAAATACTAGAATTTAAGAAAATGTATATAAATTATTCCAAGAGTCATATTACTCAGTCTTCAGAATTATTTGAGAAGCTCCCTCTCCTTCCCAACACTGCGTTTTAAGGGAACTTCCAAGAGTTAAAGGTCCAGCTTGAAACCAGAGAGGTAGAATGTACCTGTGTCTCTTTTCTTCTTATGTCAGTATTCCACCCCTCTGAACTTGTCCTGTGAATTTACTGCTTTTTAAAGATCAAGCTAAAAAGAAACATTCCAAGTAGAGCACTGGTAATTATATTGCTGTGCTTTGCTTCTCAAATACCTTTCTGAGGAATCATTCCAATTGTAAGGTTAAGACAATCAAAAGACTTCCTTCTCTTCAGGCTGACATATTCTACCCTCTCCTTCCCCATCAACTTCAGAGATTAAAAAAGGTCACAGTTCAACAGACTGTGCTTTTTTGTGGAAGTAATTAGAATATTCTCAGTGTTCTCCTAGACCTCTTAAGCCCTCCTTAATCCTCCTCTTCCAGTGAAGAGAAAGATTACAATTTTCACTAAAAAGGGGACATAGACTGTTTGCTGCATATACTTTGACTGCAAATAGTAGCAGGTATAATGGGTAATCATTTCTGTCAGTACCAGCTTCAGGTCAAATTTAGAGAAAAGCTAGTTTTAATAAAATATTGATAAAAAGTAACAGGGACATAGCAAAGATACAGGCTAACCAGCCAAGATATGTTTTATAACGGTATTTTAAGCCTCTTTCTCCTGAGCTATTTCCCAATCCTACCTTTTTTTTTTGTATCACTCCTCCCTAAAATATCCACCTCAGAGGGTTAATACAAGGTGGACAAATGACATGCATCCCAAAGCAATGAAATTTTCCTGTTACTTCACCTTCATCAACTCACCCTGTCAAAAACAAAAACATCGAACCCTACTGAAAGCAATACCCACCCCCACCTGCCTTAAATTATGACAAGATTAAAAGCATTAATATATTTTCTTATTGCCAAAATTTTTATATGGATAATCATTCAACATTGTTTTGGAAAAAGGAGCTATTATAAATCAACACTGATACATATTATTTCCTCTCTGCAAAAACTAACACAGGCTCAACCAGATTTATCTAAAACAAATATAATAACTACAGCACTGACGTGTTTTTTACCATAGTCTGTTAGAGTGAGAGAAAGGCAGCATACCACAACGCTAGATGACCAATAATCATTAATAACTTGAAAATAAGATACAAAGTATTATTTCCTACATAGCCATGGGAAAGGAGGACCTTAGAAAGTAATCTAGGGATAATCAGGTATTATCAAATTAAAGGAATGTGAAAAAGTCTTCTAGAGAGACCAGGTGGAGTAAGAGAAGGCAAGAGAGTCTAATGCAGAAGTATTGAGTCTGTTGTAACTCTGGAAGCACAGCCCAGTGTGAAGAGAGAAGCCAGTGAGTTGTCCACTGCCAAACTGATAAATGAACAAATTAATTGAGGCAGCAACATTTTTAAAAGATTGAAGAGAAACACATATCATATTTCAAACAAAGGGGATTACAGAAATTAAGATATGAAAGGGTTACAGCCTGGATAAGAATATAATCTACCCTCCAAATCTACAGAGCACCCCTCTTATCCAATTAGACAAAAAATAGTTTTATTACAACTTAAGTTTTAGGCCAAATTATTTGAGTATTTAATTTTAATTCCTAGAAAGTATATGCCTTTCCAATAAGGAATAATTTCTTTTAAAAAAATCAGTACATGAAGCAATGCTATATGACAGTACCAATATTAAGGTCTTTTCAACAGCAGTCATGCACCACAGCAAAGTTTAAAAGAACACACTACCTACCCTCTTTGAAACAAATCCACATTGAAGAATTTGTGGAGCTCCACGGAGAATTCTACCATAGCCTGAACTTCACTCATGTTTAAGAGGATGAAGAAGTCAAAATCTGTCAGCACCTTAGTTACTGAAAACAAACAGAAAACACTTTTTAGAACACAAGCTGGAGACAACACCTATCTGGTCCTTAAAAAGGGCAATGCTACACACCATTTTGCACAGCTTCCTTAAATACACATGCCCTGAGGTAAACAAGAATATAGGATGTACCAAATCCTGCCCACAATAACTTCTGTCTCTGCCGTGAAGGAATCAACTGTTATCAGAGAAGTACCACAACACACCATCAGCATAATACAATCCCGGCACTTACTGATAACTACATACTGCAGCTCTGCTCTGGTACTTGGCTGAAGAGGAGGGAAAAATACTGCCAACTAGGAGAAAAAGAGCATGGTTTGCTTCCAGTCCTTGTTGCAGCAGAATGACTGTGCATACAGGCATCAGTGCCCCAACTCTGACATAAGGACAGGGACAGCTGAATTATAGTGTGACCAAGTAGTGCAGAGAAAGTGCTTGATCAGGCCGTGTAGGGCTATAGATGTTTTCTAGACAGAAGACAGGAGTTTAGGAGGGCAACATGCCCATTTTTAGTCAATCTTTCTTAGTAGCAAAGTGTTAGTTCTCGCTGTCTTCTCTGCAGCCACAGACTGGCACCTTCCTGCTAATTTACACCTGCCTGCTGATATTTAAACTAAAATCTTACTGACTTTTATTGAGTTCTGCTGCTTCGCCTTCAACAGTATCAATTGGATTAATAAAATAGATTACATTTTCTGCAAACAGTGTCTTCAACACTTCCCGGTTCCTCCAAATGCTGTCTGGTTTGAGGAATAAACAAACCAAAAAACCTAAAACACTGTCCTTTATGCACATCAGTCCATCTTCTGGGTCTAATGCAGAATCAGTAAATAAAAAAAGGTTGTTTGGCTGAAGACTGAATGGATTATGGGGGGTTTTTTGTTTCTAAAATTTTGAACATGCACTTGGGTGTTTGCGAAGCAGCACGCAGTGTTACTGAGACTGAAACAGAGTAGCTGGCAAAAAAAGAGTTGTTTCCACACAGGTACCAGTCACGTGAAAGCAAAGTCACCTTTAGGGGTTACCTTTAGCCTATCAACTAAATTATCTTGGTATATGACTCAAGATAAGATTTACCTTTCTGTACTCACCCTAGAGGAGCTGGAAGGCTTCAAGCACTACAGCACAGGTCTAGATCTTTAACTATAAACAAGAACTTAAGACCTTGGTTTAACAGCTAATGCAAGGACTCCACATGCACTTTACAAAAACACAGAAACAGCATGTTACTGAAGTAACGGGACATGGAAAGAGGGATTTTGCTTCTGAGGCTGAGTTACAACAATATGAATAACTCAGATAAAGGGCCTTTGCCACAAAGATCAAAACTACAGCATCTAGATGATGCAATTAAGCCAGTTTGTTTAAAAATCCTGCTTTCATTCAAATTTCAATCAACTGACTTCAACAGATTAATTGAATGATGACACAAGTTTTGCTACAGTGTGCAGCATCAATAACCAACAGCGCTTTGCAAAAATGCTCTCTTCCACTGCTATGTCTATAGGATTATGTAAGGACACCCTCAGTGGTCTTTACAACTAGAAACAAGATCTGCAGTCTAATTTTCTGGGATTACCATATACTACATGTGCACCACCTACCACAATCCAAGTGAATCTTCTGCAGATGCAACCTGATCTGCCACTGAGCAGTGATCACAGAATCATCTGAAACTGTCCAATGGCTTAGAATGGAGCCCACTTTAAAACACTCAAGTAAAAGCAAAAGAACACATAAAGGATGCCATGGAGTACATTCATGCAGCTTGCATTTTATGAAACTACATTTTCAAGGGAGGAAGACACCGTATGTCTCTGACTACCCAGCACAACGATAGGCACTGTCTATGTCCCTGAATAGTTTGCCTCCACTAAGAGAAGGGAAAACTGTTTCTGAAGGAGTTGCTGGGCCAAACAGTCACTCCCAAATGCTTCAGGACCTCTCAAGTCGCAGCAGGGAAAATCAGAACAATCCAGAACTAAGCCAATTAGACAAGTTTGAATTTCTAAATTCAACAAAAAAATGCTCTGAGAGCCATGTATTGTGCTGCTGCCAAAGGACTGTCCAGTGAACTTGTGGTATTTCTATTGTCTAACATGGTTCTAGCTGAGGCCACTCCCTGCCTCCTCTGTCAAACTGACTTAGCATCTGCAGCCAGCCCACTAAAAATTGCCTAAGCCCTGCAGACCAAACACAGGGCCCAACAAGAAATACTGAGTTACATTTCACAAAACAGTGCATCCAGACAGCAACATTGCATATCACCACAGGTACCTGGGACTGCAGTCTACCAGCGGACCTTTGGCTTTTTCTTTGCAAAGCATCAGCTTGTTCCAACAGCACCTTAACCTGAGTGAAGGGAAGCATTCACTGCTCTGGGCTGACAAAAACAAATCACTATTTTTTGGTCAGTATTCCATCTCATTACAAAGGAAAAGTGTTATTTGAACTATTTAATAGAAAGTGTTAAGCAATGATTAAATATTTTAAAGGAGAAATTCAAAGATGGACTATGACGATGTCTTTAATTTTTGTACACTAATCACACAAAGGCCAACCAAAAAAGTTAAACTCACATAGAAGCATTTATTTGTAAAGATTCCATTCAAATTTACAGCAAAACTCACTGACTAAACTCAATAATATTAAATGTCCACAACTCATTTTAATACTTAGTGAGTTTTGTGTTTTATTTTAAAGCATATAATTAGCATTCAGAAGTTGTGCTATTGAATAGCATGTTTGTTCTGTCTGCCTGTAAGGAGCAGAAGAATCTTTCAGTAGGAACACTCTGTATATCAGCAACAAAGGTTAATACAGCATATAAACATGTATCAGAAGATCTAATCATAGATGAGAAGAATACGCTAATACACATGGTTAGAACAAACAGAGGATTTAATAACTTTGGAAGCTACTTAGCACTTGCAATCAAAACAACATTTCAATCTTCAAAAATATTTAAACACTGAGACAGAACATTTCTAATACTTAAAATGTTAGGTAAAGCTTCTTGATCCTAAAGTGAGGCCCAGAACTTTACCTTCCTTCACACTTCTCTGGCTTTATTAAACTTCTTACATTGGAAAACCTCATACCCCAAACTAGCTCACCACTTTGTTAGTTATTCAAAGTAATCTTTTCAGAGGCCACAATACAAAATGGATTACAGGATATCAGATTTTAAAAGACCATCAGAGGGAAAAAATGTTTTTTTCTAAATCGATTATTTTAGTGGTACTTTGCAGCAGCTGCATCAGAGCCTCTGTGAGTGCAATGAAAAGACAGAAGGTGTACAGAAATCCCCTAAACAAGATTTGTTTTCAGATAAATGCTTGTGTAACAGCACCATTAATCTACCTACTTGTATTGGGAACTGCAAGACACTGCAAAGAAACAAAACTGTTGTACATTGAAAGAATGTCTTACCTCCACTGGTAAATACTCCATTTTAGTACGTTAAGTAACAAGCTTTCGAGTTCTTCACTATTGCTGTCAAAAACATACTGCTTGAACTAAAAAAAAACAAACAAACAAAAAAAGGTTTTACTAAGAGCAGGATCTCTATAACTTTTCAGTACATTTATTCTCTTTTCCTGCATCCTAATAACAGCCCCTATGATGTCCTCTCCAACAATCACACTTGTATTGTCTACCAGCATTCTCCAATCTGCCCTCAGTTCCTGCAATGCAGCTTTCAGCTTTCTGCTAGTGTAACAATCTGACGCCTATTTTTCCAAAATAAAGTGAGAAAATAAAACTTCCTGTGAAGCCCAAGCTCTGCCAAAGCTGACATTGCTATGTTCAGCCAAACTATCCTTTGTCTTCACCAAGTAATTCCAAAATCCAAATCTCAAAATCCAGTATGTGCGCAGCCACACCACAACCCCCCGATATCCAGAGACTCTCAGCTCACCAGCCGCAATGTAGCAATGAGGAGGTAGGAGGATTTCTGGCCTGAGTCATCAAATACAGCTCATGTCCCCACACAGTCCTACACAGCTACCAGTGAGGAGACAACTTACAAGAACAGGTCAGAAGGAATTCTCCTGGCAGTCCCTTCTCCTCAGGAGACAAATTCAGGGGACAAGGAGGAGAACCCAAATACCAAGAACCATTTCTTACAGCAAAAATTACAGGTAGATCAATGCCCCCTAATATTCTTAAAACTGTTTGTTAAGAATCAGTCTATCTCCCCTGTATTCCTAAACAATAAGGGCATTTAAAAAAATAATTCTAAAAAATAACCAAAGTCTCTGTTTTATCTGATTAACTTCAGACACAGAGAAGAGAAGGCTTAGTTATCCCTTCTCAAAGGAACCCTGTGTCCTTTCTATACATATATTTAAGCAACATACAAACACAAAACCTATCACAGCTTGTGCAGGCAAATTGTGAACCTAAACTAGCTTTTCCTTAGCTTCAAAGAGAAGAAAACAGAAAGCGGAGCATAAAAAAAATACATTATTTGTAATTTTAAAAATTATAAATCACTTGTGCACATCATACGTGATATTACATCTTTGATACCACAAATTATCAATAAAGTCCCTATAAAATCCTGATACCACAATGCCACATCAAAATGGCACTGACATTTGTTCAGTTTGTTTAACAATACATCTGGTGTTATACTAGTTCTTTTTTACAAAGGATTAAGCTTTTGAAATGAGAGAAAAAACACACAAAATCCTGAATAGCCAAAATTGTTCTAGCCTTAGAATCCTACAAATGAAAATAAAACAAGATGCTGTTTTCCCCATTTTCCAGCTGCTAATTTAACAGCCTTCAAGTAATCCTTTTCTTCTAAGTTGCTGTAGTTGTTGTTTGTACATCTCCATCCTTGACCTTTTCCCCCCCGTTCTCTTCTCCTTTATGCTCAGAGATCCAGCACCTGCCAACACAAATTCAGCCACCATTTATCTGTCTCTGCACTAAT